TTAATGAGAGCAGAACCAGCACGTCAAGGGATTATTAGTTTCCTCCAGTTGTTACTCATGAGTCTGCATGTGGAAGATTGCATCTAGTTTTGGGTCACTCATTCCAGGACAGAACCTGAAAAATGGGAGGGAACCCGAAAAATGCAAGAGCAGCCAGAGGAGAATCTCTAAGACAGTCAGGGAGCTGAAACCGATGAGATACTGGAAGAGACTAAAGAAGATGGTTTGATTTATCATAGTAAAGTATAAGATAATAGTCTAATTATGTGGTCTTCAACCACCTTGAATAAAGTTTTGCAGAAGTGAGAGTCAGACTCTCCTCAGAAGCACACAGTGAAAGGACAATGTGAGGGTCACACATTGCAACTGAAAACGATTCAGCTGTCTCTAAATGGAAGTAAAAATCCACCCTGAGACTGGTCCAAAAAAGTTATGAAATATCCAACCTTAGAGGTGCTCAGAATGTAGGCAGACACAGTTCTGTGCAACCTGATTTATCTCTGAAGATGGCACTGTTTTGAGCAAGAACATCAGACTAAATGACTTCCTTATGCTAATTTTTTTCCATGGTTCTACATCAGAGATATACTTCTGTCCTGGTTTGAGCCAGGATTAAGCCAGTTTTCCTTTTGCTGATTTTTTTTTTTTTTTTTTTTTTTCCTTCAGTGAGCTTTCTTTTAACTAGCAACTGTGTGTTCTGCTAGGTTTATAAGACACTGGAATGTTTTGTAACTGCTGGGCCTTCAAGGTCGTGTCTTCACTCTGCTGGCTCAGACACTATGGGGAGATCTGTGCCCCCCCCCCCATGGGAGGCTGGGTTAGATGGACAGCAAAATGGGCCAGAGATATTCCATTCCATCAATCTACGTAGGCTCGGGGGAAGGTCGGAGATCACAGAAGACAACTTCCTTCCTTCTTTTTTCTCCCCTTCTCTCTTCCATCCATGGCTGGCGTCCGGGGAGGACTCTGTCCATCCATCATCGTTGACCCTTAGGCTCGAGCTCTCCTGACCCTCATAACTCTCCACTTTCTCCATCAGCAGCTCTGGGATTCCTCGGGACTGTCCCATCGGAGGGGAGAGCTGTGGGAGTTGCTGGAGGTGAGGGGAGGCGAGAGGCTTTTGCCTATACCGGAACATATCTGTATATAATTGTATATATTCTCTTATATAATTCATTAGTGTTTTAATTAAAGCTGTGTAGTTTAGTTTTCAATCTGGCCAAGTCTCTCTCTTTTTCTCTCTCTCCTTCCCTACCTGGGTGGGAGGGGGAGAGGATTGAGAGTGTTGTCGTCGGACCTGAGTCAAATGGTGACAACTTCCAGTCTTACATTTATACTTATGTCCTCAATAAAAAAATAGCTAAAGGTTATCTTAATTTAAGCTCAGATTCAGTAAGTGGAATTTGTATGGAATATATTTTAAAATGTGACCATGTTAAATCACGGCCTTCTATCTTTAGAATTAACATTCCTCTGGGACTTAAAGCTCTACCCCTGAGCTTTACATAAGTTTTGTGGCTTCTACCTTTTGCCTTATTTCCCCAGTGACCTACAAACTAGGCCTGCCTGTTGAGATGCTCTGAAATGCTTACTGGCTCATCACTAAATAGTTGAGAAAATCACTTAACTTTAAAACAAGACAAAATTATAGAAACCGAAACACCAATCTTGTTTATATATGAGCTCAGCTTTTGGATCACTTGCTTTGAAAGGGTAAAAACTATCCTTAAGTATCTCTCAATGGAAGGAACTTAAATCCATATGCGCTACTCTTTGAGAAGTGTCAAGGGAGTACTGGTCATTTAATTTCCTTAGCTCAATGAGTCTTCACTCTTCCTTTACAGTTTCACTTGGAATTTGAGCATCCAATTCTCTTTGTCTATGAGCCTATGCCAAAAGATAGTCAACAGTTAAACTATAGATTGGGTTTGGCTGAACATTTCCTTTTTAAACATTATTCTCAGAAAAAACCTGCAGAACCATAAAATGAGCTAAATTCTTCACCTGAACTATTAAATGCATTATTCAGATCATTGAAAGATTTATTTTTTGATATTTGATTGAAAATTCATTCAGGCACTGAAGAATGAATGAGTACACATTACATTATACAAGACACTGATCTTCTTTATGAAGCAACAAATAAAAATCTTTCAGTGCTAGAAATAATTTTTTTCTCAAAAATTTAGGTTCAAAAAGGTTTTCTCCTCATATTTCTCTCCCCAAGATCTACAGAGAATTCAGTTACAAAGCCATATTAGTAATCTACCAGGAGCATTCAAAACTTGTCATGCCAGGGCTTTACATGATTTTCTTCACCCAGATATCTCTGCAAAGCTCAAGGATTGACTAGATGCACATATCTGGCAACTGTTCCAGTTGAGATGAAGGGCACTTTCACAATACTACCTGATCAACTTAGTTGATCCCAAGCTCAACAAAACCCATGAGGAATGCTCCTACTATCTTTTTTAACAGACCACACACTTGAAAGCTTGCACTCACTTCTACTGAGGTAAAAAAAAATTAATAAAAAAATCTCAGTTTACATTTTTACCATTTTTGCTGCATGTGGGATTTGCAGTTCTATGTTTTTTGACAATGTTGTAACTGCTAAGTTTAAATCATATTAATGGCTTAACTGAAAACACAGAGCTCAACATATGCATCTAAGCTTAATATTGTGTTAGTTAATGCTGTATTTTCTTAGATCAGTGCACTTTCAAATCAACTACCAAGTTCTCCAGCTTTAAAATATGCAGAGCAACTGGAAAGAAAATTCACGTCTTTCACAGATAATGTTCAACCCCTGATTAAATAAATATGTGCCAAAGCAGAGATACTTTATGCCTCAAGAGACAGTCATACTGGAATTGAGAGTGTATTTTGTATGTGAACTAGAGGTAAGATGTAATGACATGAGATGAAAGGCTCAGCCATGATTTTAATAAAGGGGGGAGACAGTACTTCCCTGTGGACCCCATATGCAAAGGAGTGAGACTCAACAAGAATATATTAAAAGATTCAGCAAAAAAACTACAATAAATGTTTCAAAGTTATAAGACCACCATTAAAATTCATCACATTTTACTGAAGTTGAGAACTCCAGTTCTGAAGATAAGCTTTAACACATTTCTGGTAGTTTGTCAGAAATTAAAGGTACATCATCAATAAACTGGAACAATTTTCAAGGTTTATGTAAGACAGAACTGGAGAGTTTGAAACCATAAGATTTCAGTTTTTAAAGGCTTTTAATAACATAATCTAAAAATTATTTCATTGAATCTGTTATTTTGAAGCTATAGTTTTCATTTAAATAAAGTAACACACTTAATTTGGTCATAGTAGGATCACACACATTTTACCTGCTTAATGCTTTTAGCAATCCTCAGAAAAAGCTGTTACTTATTACTCAATTGATATTTCTTATGAATAGAGGAGAATTCTAAAGAACCATTATTTATTATTATTATTTTTTTTCCCCATTAAATGGAGGAAAAAGTTTGAGATTCTGCACAGGTCTCTCTCTTTCTGTGCATTAAAAAAATACATTAAAAGACAGACATGCCTTTGTAAGGAAACGACATTAAAAGAGCAAAATGAATGGGATGAACTGCTTAAAGGACAAAAAAACCCTGCTTTATTTGATCTTTTGTGATAATCACACTACTGGCAACCTGCCAGCAAAGCTGAGCATGCTGATGTCTGGCCAAGTAGAGTAATCTCGTGGTTCAAGCCTGAGGTCTGTGATGAAAATTAGAAAGCAGGAACAAAATCAAAACGCTGCCTGTGATTTTATTCTGAAACTAATTTGATAGAAAAAAAGGTAATACAATGCAAACAGCCTTTTTAGTAGAGTCTATGACTAAATTGAAACCAATGCAAGTGGATGGAGGTAGCTATCATGCAAATACATTTGGATCTGCAGGTATCCTTCTAAAAAAAGGAGATGTCTTTGTGACAGGTAAATTGCTTTGAAATTATGTTTGAAATTTTAGGTCAAACTTTAAAATTATAATTTTAATTTACATCTTCCTTTATTCTGGAGTCTTTTTGCATCTCCTACATAATGAATTTGAAACCAACAAAACCAAGAAAAAAAATAATAAATTAACTTCCTTAATTTCCTTTCCATGAATCACCACTAACTATAGGTCAACAAATTCTCAAAAGAAAAAAAAAAAAAAAAAAAAAAAGCCACTTTTCCTTTCTCTTTTAATTTATTAGCCTATACTGGAACTAGTTGCCCACAGATATAAGGGGAACTGTACAGCCACAAAATTCCACATGCACGCAAAATGTATCCAACTTAGACATCCAGCCAGAGTCTTCTATGTTATTATTCAGATGCAAAACAGAAAAAAATAATCACAAAAATAATCACAAAAAATCAGCACATGACTTACTCATACGTCTATTGTGTTTTCCTCCATTTTACTGAAAGGTAGTACATGATTAGCAATACTGATAATTGTTTGGGTTTTTCCTAACAAATACTAATGATTACTCAGGATGACTCAGAATCTGTTTTTACAAATTTATGCTTAAAAAAACCCCAAAACAACACAGCAGATTTTGTTTCCTCTATGTTACTTCACTAAAAATTCTCTGTACTCTAAAGTGATAAAGGTTACCTATTTTACCACCACCTTCTCTTGAAATACCTTGTCGTTTTTATACATGCTTACTTCTGCTCTCTGCACTAGTAAGACTCGCCATATGCAAGCACCAGGGTAATCCCTGATCTCTAGGACTTCACTGAAAACACTGCATTTTAGCTGTTTCACAGTTGCTGTCTCATTGCAGCATAGACAATACAGCACTTGTTAAATTCTGTATTTAAATATGGAGATATGCTCATAAAGTTCTTCACACACACACATGCACACACATTAATACATGGAAAGAACTTCAGGTATATACATGCACATATTCACACAGACAGCATAAATATGATTCATAAAAACATGAGCATTTATGCTTAAATAAAAGGTACTTACCTGGAATGAGCTGACCCAGTAACTGATGGCATCTGGAAAGGCTGAATACTGCTACTATGACCAAAAAAGGATAATGTTTCCATTTCATGATGTGTCCTTCCTTGCATTACACCAGCTCAGCAGTGCTAATGTAAATGTTACCTGCAATACACGATGGAAAAAAGAACAGAAAAAATAATAATTATATATTTAAAGTATTCAAAATATTTTTCCCAGTGTAACTCTATGAAGTATGCTTGTTTCAATACAGTTTTAGTTATTAAAATAATGCCAAGCTTTCTACCAATTAGGAAGTTGTAAACGACAACCAGATCATTAACTATTCTTGTAGAGAACACAACGGCAAAGCAGATATTTTAAAGGGAGACATGAAGACCCTCCCCATTGTACACGTTTATTTTAAAGTGCTGCATGCTCTTTGGTCATGTAACTCAAGTTATTAAAGAAATTGCTCAGTTCAGCAAGATGTATCAGTGAAGATAATCCACCAAGATAACCCATCCCAGTTCAAAGAAATACTTAAACACTTGCCTAAATTAAATACTCTTCAACACTCTTCAGCTTTCCATACAATCAGGGTTAATGCTTTACACTAGTCTTCTTTTGACAAAGTGTTTTGCTAAATGAGGATTAGGGATAATTTTACCCAGAAATCATTTCAACAGTTAAGGTGACCTTCTGGTTAGCTTTTGTGTTCTTAAGGGTAGAAAATTTTAATTCAACTGGCATGAAAATGGAATGGTATGAAGAAAGAATAGATTTGGAATAAAAATGTGACTTTTAGACTTATTTTTTTCTGACCACCAAAACTAACGTGGCTCCAGTAATAAGCTGAGAACCTCCCCTGGCTCCAAACTCAGCCAAGGAGCCTTTAGAGGGACAATAGATTTGCCTCTGTGATTAACATATTAAAGAACTTATATAACAACTGAGCAGAGAAGCACTTAAAGAAAAAGAAGAGTTGTGCTGGAGACGCAGAGCTGTGCTGACAGCTGGTGAGGAAGAAGGGCAAGAAGGTGCCCAAGCAGAAGTTTCCCTGCAACCCACGGCGAGATGGCAGCTGTGCCCCTGCACTCATGGAGGAACGTGGTGGAACATTCCCTGAAGGCGCCAGGAGGGGTGAACTTGGCCAGTGGACTTGGATTTTGTGGCCAGAGGATTTGCTGCCAGTGGACTCTGATTACACAGCTTGGAAGACCTAGAGCCACGGGAGGTGACTGTTCTTGAAGAAGTCCATGACTCTGTGGGAAGCCCAGGCTGAAGCAGCTCCAGAACTCGTGGGATGGACTCATGAAGGAGAGGTTCATGGAGGACTCTCTCCCATGGGAGGGACCCCATGGGGAAGCAGGACCAGACTGTAAGGAATCCTTCTCCCTGAGGAGGATGACGTGGCAAGAACCACCAGCCCATGAACTGACCCTAAACCCCATCCCCTGCCCCCCTGTGCTGCTGGGGGGAAGGAGGGAGAGAAACCAGGAACAAAGTGATTTGGGCGCAGTAAGAAGGGAGGTGTTGGGTAACATATGCAAGGCCTGCTCTGTGTGTTGTCTGTGTCCTGTGTGTGTTTGATTAGTGTGAAATTAAATTATTTTCCCCAAGTTGAGTCTGTTTTGCCTGGGACTTTAATTGGTGAAGAACCCTCCTTGTCCTTATCTGGACCCATGAGCTTTGTACTCCTCATCCCAGAGCATGGGTGTGAACGGCCGTGGTGCTGCTCCTTCGTTGTCGTGTTGGGCCCAAACCATGACATTATTGGCAAGCCAGCCAGGAGCAAGACAAGAGACCATGACTTTTTTTTTTTTTTTGTATAAGGGCTGTCTTCACCTCCACAAAAACTGAAATGTGTGTGACTGCAGTGTCCCATATATTGCATAGTACCTGGGGTTCATATCAAGTTATTGACAACAAGAGAAACTATTTTAAGTGTCTGTCAGGTTACTAGATGTGTGTAATTACCTTCCCCTAACCAACAATTAGAGACCACTGAACACAACTGTATATGTGAAGCAGGCTGACACATGAAGCTCTATTCCAACAATAAATATGTTAGAACTTGATAATGTTACAACTGCACTTCTCATTTCTCTCTCCTCTTACTCATTCCCCTAGTAATTAAGATTGTATACTCAAAGATGAACAGTTTGTATTATGACCTCTACATCATCTAAATGCCAGTAGACAGAATTGTAACACTGAAAAAACCTTTGGTACCATCAGTCATTTCTTCAGTCTGCTGGGACAGAGAATTTTCAGCTGTAAACCTAATACATATTTAATGACTGCAGATAGAAGAGATGCATAACAACTGTGAGTATTCATTGTCATCTGATACTTCTGGACGTTCAAAAATGCACAAATAACTTAAATATGCATAGATTCAATCACCTATACATGCTGCATTTTCCATTTTCATCTTGTGTTACACATATGCTTCTATTATCTTAGCAACCAGAAATAATAAAACTCCATTTGCTGCTACTGCTATTATCTGAATCCTACAAAATATTTTTCTTCATTTTTTTCACTTCATCTGCACTGCACACAAAACACCAATTCCTTTCAGTCCTATTCTTTTAATTTTCCCCTATCACTTGTATGTCTGCTCTTCTGTTGCAAGCAGCTTGACAGCTCTTAATGGCAGAGTTAACAGCAATTAATGGGCAAGGTGTTACATTCTGCCCTAAATGCTATTCATGATATGACTCCAAGATTGAAACGAGGATTTGCAACTTCAGGCCTTTAGAATATTGATTTCTTTCTCTGTACAGCCCAGCTTTATAAATCCGTTTACTATGTTGGCTTCAGATTCCCACAGTTCCTTCATCTGTACTTTCTGCCTCCAAAGAAAAGATTGACTGTTCTTCTAACTCAAAACTGATGAGTCAGCCCATTGAATTTGGTTCACAAATAAATAAAAAAAAAAAACAAACAAAAACTAACACCCAATTTCAGTTACGGATTTACTTTGTCATAATAATGTGAGGTGCTTACACGACATGTCAAAATAACACAACCCCTATAAATTGCAATAGGAGTTAAGATTATCACATTATGAAGGCAGAATTTGATTGATGGACCAAACCATATTTGGTTTATGTGGCAAGGTGCTGGTACAGCGAGTGCTGTGACCTCTGAGGAGAAGCTAGGGAGTGCCTGGTGTCAGACATAGCAGTCTCCAACAGACCCACCACAGGACACAGCTGAGCCTGTCAACCAAGCTGATTTGGGTAAGCCTGTGTAAGAAAGGGCACTGTCCCAGACAGGCAGAGGAAAAGGGAAAAAAAAAGGGTCAGAAACACGACAGGGAACACCAAGGGGAGAACATGATGAGGGGAAGTAGGTGCTCCAGGTGCCAGAGAAGATTCCTCTGCAGCAAATGGAGAGGACCATGCTAGAACTGATGTCCACACCGAAGCCTGTGGAGGACTCCAGGCTGGAGCACGTGAACATGCCCTGAAGGAAGCTGTGGCTCACAGAGAGCCCACCTCAGAGCAGGTTTATCCCAAAGGACTGTGGCCTGTGGGAAGAACTCATGCTGGAACAGGGGAAAAGTGGGAGAAGGAGGAAGAGGCAGAGAGGACTGTTATGGACTGACCACAACCTCCCATTCTCCACTCCCCTGTACCAATCCAGAAAAAGGATGGGGGGCAGCAGAGGAAGAGGAACTGAAGATGAAGGGCTGAAGTTCAGCCTAGGAAAAATGCTGTGGGGGAGGAAGGGGTGTGTTAGTTTTTTCACTTTCTTCCTCACCATCTAACTCTATTTTAATCAGCAATAAATTCTGCTCTTTAGACACAGTTAACCCACTACAATAATAAAGCTGACTGAAGCAGAGGTAAATGAATCCCAGCAACACGCTTTATAGCGCTTGCCCTATCTGTCAAGGCATCCTATGCATGAATCCAAAATTGTCTTTTCCATACCTTTCTCTTCCATTAAATTTATCAGCAGACTATGGGTTCTTTTTATTCCCTTTGTACATGACAGAGCTCCACAGGGAGCTCAGATGTTCACTGCCTGGCTTGTCTGTTAAAACCTTTTTTTCCCTCTAATTGTGCTTGTTTTATGTTTGAAATATAAAATTTAATTCTAAACCCTGAAATTATTTCAGTCTTTTTAAAAATATTCTCACAGAAAAAATCACTGAAGATGGCTTTAATGAAGCCAAGTAATTTTAATATGAAAACAAAAGTTCTTATTCTACAGTTTAAAACCAATTATATAGATATTCCTTGAAAACAATCCAGAATAGGAGGGTGATTCTCTGTATTTAGAGTATATCGTTTTCTTCTGAAATAGTAGTCCTGATCACCAAGGAGATAAAGTAGAAACAGATGTCATCAGAATGGAAAATAGTTGTCAGATAGAAGTTGAATTCAGCAGAATAGAAACAAGATCTTTATTATCATAGTCTACAGCTACAGTTTGAACTTGAAGTACCACCACGCTTGTGGAAGAAACCCACAGAAGTGTATCACAACCAAAGGGATTCAGGTAGTCAGTTAAAACTGTGGTTCCCCTAATATATACTAAAAGCCCATGAAATATCTGCCACATGCATTTAGAACTTCTATTAATACACACATTCTCAGAAGCATAACATTACCTTATTTATTATAATAACTGAGCTAAATGTTTGAGAGTTTGATCCTTTTCTGCAATTAGTCTTTCAGTGTCTGAAATACAAAACTAGAATGGCAGAATAAGGGCTGGCACTAATTAGATGGTTCCAGTGACAGAAGAAGGATGCACTCACCATATAAACTTCAGCTGGCCTAAGAGCTGACTTAATTCTGTATCAAATGACTGCAGATCTACACCAGAATGTGCAAGAAAAGATTCAGATCCAATGTGTTGTGCAGAGTGTACAATGAAGATAAACACTGGCTCCTCTATGACATTATAATCATTAAAGAATCAATGGCAAATTAAACTGCACAAACCCAGAGGGGAAAGAAACACCATGGTAAATGTAGGGAGAGGGTCTAATCAATTATTTTCTTCCATTTTCCAAGTAAAGGGCTATTTATCACTACAGCCAGTGCAGCATTCAGCAGCAGAAGGACACAGAAAGAACACTAAAACTAC